TGCCATAGTCTGACAGTGTCACTGTAACATTGCCATAGTCTGACTGTAACATTGCCATAGTCTGACAGTGTCACGGTAACATTGCCATAGTCAGAAAGTGTCACTGTTACATTGCCATAGTCTGACAGTGTCACTGTAACATTGCCATAGTCTGACAGTGTCACTGTAACATTGCCATTGTCACACACTCTTATTGCTACATGATCACAGCCTCACACAATCCCTGCTACATTATCACAGCCTCACACAATCCCCGCTACATTATCACATCCTCACACAATCCCTGCTACATTATCACAGCCTCACACAATCCCCGCTACATTATCACAGCCTCACACAATCCCTGCTACATTATCACAGCCTCACACAATCCCCGCTACATTATCACAGCCTCAAACAATCCCCGCTACATTATCACAGCCTCACACAATCCCCGCTACATTATCACAGCCTCACACAATCCCTGCTACATTATCACAGCCTCACACAATCCTGGCTACATTATCACAGCATCACACAATCCCCGCTACATTATCACAGCCTCACACAATCCCTGCTACATGATCACAGCCCCACACAATCCCCGCTACATTATCACAGCATCACACAATCCTGGCTATATTATCACAGCATCACACAATCCCCGCTACATTATCACAGCCTCACACAATCCCCGCTACATTATCACAGCCTCACACAATCCCCGCTACATTATCACAGCCTCACACAATCCCGCTACATTATCACAGCCTCACAGAATCCCCGCTACATTATTACAGCCCCACACAATCCCTGCTACATTATCACAGCCTCACACTGTCCCTGATAAATTATCACAGCCCCACACAATCCCTGCTACATTATCACAGCCACACACAATCCCCGCTACATTATCACGGCCTCACACAATCCCTGCAGCATTATCACAGCATCACACAATCCCCGCTACATTATCACCGCCCCACACAATCACCGCTACATTATCACAACCCCACACAATCCCTGCTACATTATCACAACCCCACACAATCCCTGCTACATTATTACAGCCACACACATTCCCTGCTACATTATCACAGCCACACACTGCCCCTGCTACATTATCTGAGCCCCACTAAATCCCCGCTGCATTATCACAGCCTCACACAATCCCTGTTACATTATCACAGCCTCACACAATCCCCGCTACATTATCACAGCCTCACACAATCCCTGCTACTTTATCACAGCCTCACACAATCCCTGCTACATTATCACAGCCTCACACAATCCCTGCTACATGATCACAGCCCCACACAATCCCCGCTACATTATCACAGCCTCACACAATCCCTGCTACATTATCACAGCCTTACACAATCCCCGCTACGTTATCATAGCCTCGCTCAATCCCCGCTACATTATCACAGCCTCACACAATTCCTGCTACATTATCACAGCCCCACACAATCCCTGCTACATTATCACAGCCTCAAACAATCCCCGCTACATTATCACAGCCTCACACAATCCCTGCTACATTATCACAGCCCCACACAATCCCCGCTACATTATCACAGCCTCACACAATCCCTGCTACATTATCACAGCCTCACACAATCCCTGCTACATGATCACAGCCCCACACAATCCCCGCTACAATATCACAGCCTCACACAATCCCCACTACATTATCATTGCATGACACAATCCCCGCTACATTATCACAGCCTCACACAATCCCTGCTACTTTATCACAGCCTCACACAATCCCTGCTACATTATCACAGCCTCACACAATCCCTGCTACATTATCACAGCCTCACACAATCCCTGCTACATTATCACAGCCCCACACAATCCCTGCTACATTATCACAGCCACACACTGTCCCCGCTACATTATCACAGCCCCACACAATCCCCGCTACATTATCACAGCCACACACTGTCCCCGCTACATTATCACAGCCTCACACAATCCCTGCTTCATTATCACAGCCCCACACAATCCCCGCTACATTATCACAGCCACACACTGTCCCCGCTACATTATCACAGCCCCACACAATCCCCGCTACATTATCACAGCCACACACAATCCCTGCTACATTATCACAGCCTCACACAATCCCTGCTTCATTATCACAGCCACACACTGTCCCCGCTACATTAACACAGCCACACACAATCCCTGCTACATTATCACAGCCTCACACAGTCCCTGCTACATTATTACAACCCCACACAGTCCCCGCTACATTAACACAGCCACACACAATCCCTGCTACATTATCACAGCCTCACACAATCCCTGCTACATTATCACAGCCGCACACAATCCCCGCTACATTATCACAGCCTCACACAATCCCTGCTACATTATCACAGCCACACACAATCCCTGCTACATTATTACAGCCTCACACAATCCCTGCTACATTATCACAGCCTCACACAATCCCTGCTACATTATTACAGCCTCACACAATCCCTGCTACATTATCACAGCCACACACAATCTCTGCTACATTATCACGGCCTCACACAATCCCTGCAGCATTATCACAGCATCACACAATCCCCGCTACATTATCACAGCCCCACACAATCACCGCTACATTATCACAACCCCACACAATCCCTGCTACATTATCACAACCCCACACAATCCCTGCTACATTATTACAGCCTCACACAATCCCTGCTACATTATCACAGCCACACACTGCCCCTGCTACATTATCTGAGCCCCACACAATCCCCGCTGCATTATCACAGCCTCACACAATCCCCGCTACATTATCACAGCCTCACACAATCCCTGTTACATTATCACAGCCTCACACTGTCCCTGATAAATTATCACAGCCTCACACAATCCCTGCTACATTATCACAGCCTCACACAATCCCTGCTACATTATCACAGCCTCACACAATCCCCGCTACATTATCACAGCCTCACACAATCCCTGCTACATTATCACAGCCTCACACAATCCCCGCTACATTATCTCAGCCTCACACAATCCCTGCTACATTATTACAGCCTCACACAATCCCCGCTACACTATAACAGCCTCACACAATCCCTGCTACATTATCACAGCCTCACACAATCCCCGCTACATTATCACAGCCTCACACAATCCCTGCTACATTATCACAGCCTCACACAATCCCTGCTACATTATCGCAGACTTACACAATCCCCGCTACATTATCACAGCCTCACACTGTCCCTGATAAATTAACAAAAGCCTCACATTGTAGTTAAAACATGAGAACTATCTGTTTAAATGTTTGATTTATTTGTTTACACTACAAAAAACAATCCTTGACACATACAATATTCAGACGGAGAATGTTTATGGTTGCAGCATCGAGGTAGGTCGCAAGTCGCACACTGTCCCCGCTACATTATCACAGCCCCACACAATCCCCGCTACATTATCACAGCCACACACAATCCCTGCTACATTATCACAGCCTCACACAATCCCTGCTTCATTATCACAGCCACACACTGTCCCCGCTACATTAACACAGCCACACACAATCCCTGCTACATTATCACAGCCTCACACAGTCCCTGCTACATTATTACAACCCCACACAGTCCCCGCTACATTAACACAGCCACACACAATCCCTGCTACATTATCACAGCCTCACACAATCCCTGCTACATTATCACAGCCGCACACAATCCCCGCTACATTATCACAGCCTCACACAATCCCTGCTACATTATCACAGCCACACACAATCCCTGCTACATTATTACAGCCTCACACAATCCCTGCTACATTATCACAGCCTCACACAATCCCTGCTACATTATTACAGCCTCACACAATCCCTGCTACATTATCACAGCCACACACAATCTCTGCTACATTATCACGGCCTCACACAATCCCTGCAGCATTATCACAGCATCACACAATCCCCGCTACATTATCACAGCCCCACACAATCACCTCTACATTATCACAACCCCACACAATCCCTGCTACATTATCACAACCCCACACAATCCCTGCTACATTATTACAGCCTCACACAATCCCTGCTACATTATCACAGCCACACACTGCCCCTGCTACATTATCTGAGCCCCACACAATCCCCGCTGCATTATCACAGCCTCACACAATCCCCGCTACATTATCACAGCCTCACACAATCCCTGTTACATTATCACAGCCTCACACTGTCCCTGATAAATTATCACAGCCTCACACAATCCCTGCTACATTATCACAGCCTCACACAATCCCTGCTACATTATCACAGCCTCACACAATCCCCGCTACATTATCACAGCCTCACACAATCCCTGCTACATTATCACAGCCTCACACAATCCCCGCTACATTATCTCAGCCTCACACAATCCCTGCTACATTATTACAGCCTCACACAATCCCCGCTACACTATAACAGCCTCACACAATCCCTGCTACATTATCACAGCCTCACACAATCCCCGCTACATTATCACAGCCTCACACAATCCCTGCTACATTATCACAGCCTCACACAATCCCTGCTACATTATCACAGGCTCACACTGTCCCTGCTACATTATCACAGCCTCACACAATTCCCGCTACGTTATCATAGCCTCACACAATCCCCGCTACATTATCATTGCATGACACAATCCCCGCTACATTATCACAGCCTCACACAATTCCTGCTACAATATCACAGCCTCACACAATCCCCACTACATTATCATTGCATGACACAATCCCCGCTACATTATCACAGCCTCACACAATCCCTGCTACTTTATCACAGCCTCACACAATCCCTGCTACATTATCACAGCATCACACAATCCCCGCTACATTATCATTGCATGACACAATCCCCACTAAATTAACACAGGCTCACACAATTCCCGCTAAATTATCGCAGACTTACACAATCCCCGCTACATTATCACAGCCTCACACTGTCCCTGATAAATTAACAAAAGCCTCACATTGTAGTTAAAACATGAGAACTATCTGTTTAAATGTTTGATTTATTTGTTTACACTACAAAAAACAATCCTTGACACATACAATATTCAGACGGAGAATGTTTATGGTTGCAGCATCGAGGTAGGTCGCAAGTCGCAATTCTCGACAACAGATGAATGGGCTACACTTAACCACTCTGCTGTTACCAGTCGATCACGACAGAAAGTTGATAGTATAGGGTGTATATTTTGAACCCTAATGTTTACCATTTCAAATTACAAGGTTTTATCAAATTGGAAAAGGTAACCAAACATTCCACATCTTCATGTTGCACTCAGTCATTATTTATGAACAAATGACCTTTAAACATATGGCCTTTTGTTAGGCATATCAAAGAGGCATAGCTTTGACCAGCACAATTCCCGTAGGGTTGACAGTCACATTGAACTGACCGCTCGGCTTGTACATGCCCATACTGACGTCATCAAAAACGTTAGTAATGTTATAGCCATTCTGATTGGTCAATGTGATGTCCGCTAGGGTCAGGGACATGCGTGTTGGTGTTCCATCTGAGTTCGGGTTGAAGAAAGCTACTGCATAACTTCCGGGTTTCACCAAAGGTTTCAGCCAGACCTGCACGTTTTGAATCTGCAATGGTGGAAGAAATACATTGACATTCGTATGCGCATTCGTGCGGACAGACACATACACAGACACCGGCACAGACACAAAATAACACATGGAAATAATTATAGAAATAATAATAATCTGACGTTAAAGACGTTGGATACAATAGTTCGGGCGTACCTCAGTTCACGCCGTTGCACGCGAGTTTACCGTGACGAATTACCTCCCTTTACGCGCCCTGTCTTCCACAAATTCCATGGTATTGTTTTGATAGCTCAATAACTCCTCATGCATATGGACAGATTAGATAGAAATATATTGTTGTGTTTTTAACAAGTGTTGAAGCATACAATCATCAGGATATGTATGTTAACATGGAATTTGAATAAGGGTGGTCGGGTAGCCTGGTGGTTAAAGTGTTTACTCGTCACGCCGAAGACCAAGGTTCGATTCCCAACAATGTATGAAGCCCATTTATTACTTGCCTGTGAAGAGATCACCCGTTTAATAAACATACAGCTGTATTACACATTGTGTAATACCAAAACGCGTGCTCATGTTCTGTCGGAACACGTTTCAACGACATTGCGTGCGGAGTTGAAAGATCACTGAGAGGAGCTTTATGCACACTCGATGACCCCAGCAACCTTGTTGCTAGGCTGACATCACATGGCATTGTTTCGCCGATGGATCTTGCAACAAAATTCCACAAATTACGTCATCGGGTATTGTGACGTTATTGTAAACTTTGAGGTGCAAGGCCCCATTCCCCAAGGCGATCGTACTCTAGCGCAACGACAGTCGTTAGTCTAAGTTAAAGTATGTGAGTTGCGATAGTCTTAGCCCTACGATAATTTTGTGAATTCTAAAGGTGGACCGTTGTATGGTATCAAATTCATACGTTTCAAGTTTTGACGTGTTTGAAGTATTATTCTGTTAAACTCAATTGGACTATGCCGTGTATCGTACTCAACAGTACAATTCTAAAAACGTTATAAATGGCAAGTAATTAATAAAATACTAAACTCGCTCCCGTGTAAAACCAATTTTATGAAACTCGTGAATAGTTGTGGTATCTGACTCTCTTTCGCTCGTCAGATACCACAACTATTCACTCGTTTTATAAACTTGGTATTACACTCTAGCTCGTTTAGTATTCTATATTTCTGGTGTCCCCCGCCGTGATATTGCTGGAATATTGCTAAAAGCGGCTTAAAAAACCATTCTCAGTCACTCACTGATATTTGAATGCTAAGATGTTTTTCTTTTTGCAACGAAAATGTGATTAGTTCAAGCAATAAAATGACATGTTTTTGCAAGTACAAATTGAATTGTCAATCCTCTGTGAAGTTTTTATAATCTGCTAAAGTATGAATCCATGATCGATCTTAGCGCTAAGATGATCGTAACTCCCAAACTTAAACATAGGTTTACAATAGCCTTAGCGCTAAGATCGCTTTGTGCAAGTGGGCCCTGGTACTGGAAAACACCGGGTGGTAATTGGTGGTAAGCAACGACATGTCCGTTCATGATTGTGGAAACCTGCAACATGTACCTTTGTTATCCTTCCCAAACATGACCCGATAAGTATTAAAAAATAACTGATTTTTCAGATTCAGTGGGTAAAAAAGTGTGTAGAGTTCCTACATATTATTTTATTAACATTTGATTCTCCTCCCTGAATTTCTAAAATATTCTTTCTTTCTGTTTTTTGTACGAGAAGCATAGCTATTTATGATTAATTAATTGCTATTAATGGGTAAACAGAAAGCATTGTAGAACATCAAACCTGTCTATTATGTTATATCTAAACAATACTCAATGACAAGCATAATATGGGATTGATTATATCTAGATAATGAGTTGTCTCCCTTTTCAGGTATCAGGACCAAGCTCCTTCCCAGCGCGTGACACCTTCGTTACACTCTCAGTAACATCGCTGCCACCAGTGTGGGCGCGGCCATTACAAGAATCTTGAAATTTGCCCTCCAACCCCATATGTAGTAACGTTTATACTTTTGTTTATGTCTTTGGGAATGCCATCATATTTCAATTTGAAAAGGTTTACGACTGACATTGTTTTCCAGTTGAATTTACTTTGTTGTTTTGATAATCAGATTGGTTCGAGATTGCTGACAAACGGAAAATCAACCAACTTCTCCCTTACATTCTTACTATATCAATAACACGATAGTTTTAATGAAACAGAAATTCAAATTGACAAACGAAGCAAGTAATTTAGCAGAGATAAGTGTATTCGGCGTCACGACAGTCGTCACTTGTTTGTAAACAATACGGTCCTTCGGTTGCGAGTTCAACTCCAAGAATGGTTGTGGCCACCTATTCACAGTGGGGAGTTTTGACTTGTGGCAGCGATAGTATGGAGAGCTCCGCGAACGGGCTATCGCTGTGAGGAGCTTGGTATCAGGATTGACACCCTAGCTTTCTTTGGGCAGGCACATATTCAATATTTAGCGTGGAGACCTACAGATTTTTATCTTAATTTATGTTGGTGGATATTGTACGCTATACTGGAAAATGGTGACTCTGTAGTGGGTTTTGATCTCCTAAATAACTATTTCCATGAGTACTTGCGCCTTTGATACCCGAGCCACATTTAATATGTTGCTATTTTCCCTCGATTGTTTCTATTTTTGGTCCTTTTTTCACCATCCGTGTATGTAGTTAACAAACTTAAATAGTAATAAACACTACAAAGTAAGTTTAATTACACTATTAGGTTAATGTGTTACAAGGAGTCAGCTTTAGCAATGTTATCTAGTGATGATAAATCATGTCATTTGAGACCTACCCCACTATACGTGGGTGCCACCTACAACAAAATATAGCATGAATGGATATTATTTTTTTTATTATTCGGTACAAGTATACTACACACTCTCTTCATGTTACATCTCAGAGCATTGTAGAGGGTTTCACTTATTGTGTCCAACGTCTTTAAACGGTTGACGGTAAATTCATGACAGGACTACTTCTTTGCTGCCCTCGGTATTATGTAGGTAGTGGAAAAAGCCGAGAGGTCTAAGGAGGGAAGGGGTAATTTCACACGCAGATAAAAGGGAATGAGTTTCCATGCTGTGTTCTTTTCAAGCTTGGAATCTTTCTTCCATTGATATGTGTACCATACGTCATGCATATGACTGATGAAAATTGATTTTTTTTTAAAAAACAAACTATTCACTAATGTTCGTTTGGAGTAAGCCTCACCTCTTTTATCATATTAGCTCCCTTTACGAGTGGGTCCTGGTTGATGGCAATGACGGCCCTGTTCTGTAGAATGGACTTGGCCTGTGGTCTCATGGTCCTCAGATCAGCGGATATGTAGAGTGGGGCGGCAAACATCGCCCACATCCCGAACTGAGTCTTCTCTTGGTCATAACTCAGACTGAAGTCCCCGATAATCAGCTGAAACACCACAGGTCGTCAGTCAAACTCTGACCATTCATATGTCCAGGCCGAATGAAACGGACTCCTGTTGCTCTTTTAAAATATTTTTTGTTGCAATGCTATATTAATGTTATAGCGACTTCCCCAATAGCTGTAGTGAAGAAGGAGCAAGGCGAGTGACAGGAAAATGTAGAGTCGAAGGGAGGAAGAGTGCAAGGAAAGAAGAGAGGGCATCAACAGGCATAAACCTAAGGGAAAACCAACAGAGAGAAAACAGTGATATAGTCATAGAGGAAAGAGAGAGCGCGAGAGCATGAAACAGGACAAAGAAGAGTGAACGAGAACGTGATAGGGAAAATGACAGTGTGGGGAGGAGTAGGAATATACAAAGAAAAAACTAGGTGAAGGTGAAAAGTGATAGAGCGAAAGGGATCGGAAAGGTACGGAGGGAGAATAGAAGAGAACGAGAGTTACATGCACAGAAGGAGTGGCTTAGTCAGTATGATTTTACGCCGCTTTTAGCAATATTCCAGCAATATCACGGCGGGGGACACCAGAAATGGGCTTCACACATTGTACCCATGTCGGGAATCGAACTCGGGTCTTCAGCGTGACGAGCGAAGACTTTAACCACTGGGCTACCCGACCGCCCCTGCACAGAAGGAGACGGGACAGGTGAAAAGAAGTTGAAGTACAAAGATTAGAGTCAGTGAAAGGGAAGCTATACAATTACCTCATCTGGATCGTTGATGGACCCTGGCCCTGATACTGAGATGAAATCCCCGGCGTTTTTGGCATAGTGTTGGATGATGCCGAGGACGGAGGGCCAGCTGTCCTGTATGTCGTTGAAGGTCCTCCAGCTGTTGCAGTACTCGCTGTTGCGGGTGTAGTGGGAGTGCTGGAAAAACGCACTATACTAGTTGAATGGCCGCATATAGTAATACAGCAAAAAGCAACACGACATTATATTAATGATGTACAGCGAATTGGTTTCAACGCCGCTTTGATGTATTTGGAAAGCTCAAACTGATGTAGGTCTAACTTTGGCGCACGGGTATGGTGCTGACAAACCAAGAAGTAAGATCAGAGCGAACTGGGATTTGAACCCACGAAAATGTTGAAAAGGATTTGGTGTATTTTTCAGTCATGGATAACAAGTTATTTCCAGCCAAATTCACCATTTTCCTTCTTTTGAATTTGTCACACATACTTTGGATATTGTGGGAACCGCAACTGCGTATTATAACTGCAGTCTATATTTCAAAACGCCTGCCGACAATGACTGACAAAGAAGTCGTTTCAATAAAGATGCCCTTCCGCTGTGATGCGGCCGTCGATTCAGTTGTTTAAAAGCAGAGGGTATTATTATGGTTTGTCATCCGATGGTAGAATTTGTAGATATACATGCCTGGGTCTGATCTCCACTCCACCATTCACACGTGTAGAGGATAGGTCTGCCAGTCGCGTTCAGACTTTGGCTCATTAAGGGGAAATCTAAAGCATACGGTAACACACAAAAGACATAAGGAATACTCCTGGTTATTTTGTCGAGGCATTCTTTGTCCTAAAAAGTACCATAAAATCGAATAAAACAGTCGCAAAATCATTTGGATACACAATAGATTGTAATAAATTATTATCAGTATTTAGCTGTGGTGTAGAAGTAGTTTTTTGTATCAAAACTACCGAGGCCAACATGTTTTCAACAATGATATACTGTGACGTCATTACACATTACGCCACAATTGATGTTAACATTACGTCGATAATGATATTTGTATAACACGAAAGTGTACAACGTCTTAGACGTGGATGACGTCAGGCTGACATCCGACATTATACTGACCTGCCATTATATCACAGAAATATTGTTCACCACACATATTGACACAGTACGTGTTTTCGTTTCACAAGTCACAACACATGACCTGAAGAAATTTTCTATAATAGATAAGATGTAGTAAGAATTAAACGTTTATTCAAGACAGGTAAACGCTATATCTTACGTATTGCCGAGCGGTTTGTGTCTGTGTTACAGCCATCAAACTTGAGTAAATCTAGTTCCCATTTTGCAAATGTCTCGGCGTCTTGCTTAGTGTAGTCCTGACTCCCAGGGTACCCTGCGCAGGTCTTGGTACCAACGTCTTCATAGATACCCAGTTTTAGCCCACGGGAATGGACCTGAGCAGAGAATTTTATCGTCGTCAAAAGGCGTGTAGCTTTATGTTAATAATAATATTACTATTCTTGGTCCACTGAATGACAAGTTTGGGACAGAAGGAAAAATGGGACCAGAAATAATAATTTCATGAAACAGAATAAACTGTTCCAAACTAATGAAAAAAAGTTTTACATGCTGTTAAAAGCAATGGATCAGTGATCGCTCGATTTTCTTCCACAGCTCCCAGGGAGTATTCAACCCAAGCTGCCTGATTTAAGCTTAACAGTCCCTTAGTCCTCTCATCCTACCGGGTACCAATTCACTGAATGGTGAACAGGGGCATATTTCGAACTAAGTCACTGGCTCATGGAGAGACACCACATGTGCTTCAGTGTGGGACGGGACTAGAAACCAACAGGAGCAAGCTGCCGAATACGGTCACCCATCAAACTACTCTTATCCACCATCTTCGCCTGACTTGTGGCCTGTGATACTGGGTTACTCTTGGATCATGATTTGTTTTTCTCTGATAAGATTAGAAAAAAAAACATTCAAGTAGATCCTGAACCTTGTGTGCAGTATTTGAGACTTGTGGAACTCCAATATTAATCATGAATTATTTTCTTACATATCGAGAGAGACCTAGGATTCCATTAGGGAACCTCTCTGGATCTGCCACGAGGTTACCATCAGCGTCCCGGGATTTGGAGGGCCAGCAGTCGTCGATGCCGATGTATTCGTAGCCGAGCTCGCGGTAGCCCTCCTCCGCAATAATGTCTGCCATCTTCATGAACAACTTCTCGCTGAAATTTAATATGTAACTATGATAAGTTATGTTTGATTCCGTAGAACACGTATAAATAACACAACACAACCCTCACACATCTCCCACCGTGCTCCGCTCACACATCTCCTACCACAGCCCACTTTCACTCATCGCCCATCCAACACCCCACTTTCATACATCGCCCATCCCACACCCCACTTTCACTCATCGCCCATCCCACACCCCACTTTCACACATCGCCCATCCCACACCCCACTTTCACACATCACCCATCCCACACCCCACTTTCACACATCGCCCATCCCACACCCCACTTTCACACATCGCCCATCCCACACCCCACTTTCACACATCGCCCATCCCACACCCCACTTTCACACATCGCCCATCCCACACCCCACTTTCACACATCGCCCATTCCACACCCCACTTTCACACATCGCCCATCCCACACCCCACTTTCACTCATCGCCCATCCCACACCCCACTTTCACACATCGCCCATCCCACACCCCACTTTCACACATCGCCCATCCCACACCCCACTTTCACACATCGCCCATCCCACACCCCACTTTCACACATCGCCCATCCCACACCCCACTTTCACACATCGCCCATCCCACACCCCACTTTCACACATCGCCCATCCCACACCTCACTTTCACTCATCGCCCATCCCACACCCCACTTTCACACATCGCCCATCCCACACCCCACTTTCACACATCGCCCATCCCACACCCCACTTTCACACATCGCCCATCCCACACCCCACTTTCACACATTGCCCATCCCACACCCCACTTTCACACATCGCCCATCCCACACCCCACTTTCACACATCGCCCATCCCACACCTCACTTTCACTCATCGCCCATCCCACACCTCACTTTCACACATCGCCCATCCCACACACCACTTTCACACATCGCCCATCCCACACCCCACTTTCACACATCGCCCATCCCACACCCCACTTTCACTCATCGCCCATCTAACACCCCACATTCACACATCGCCCATCCCACACCCCACTTTCACACATCGCCCATCCCACACACCACTTTCACACATCGCCCATCCCACACCCCACTTTCACACATCGCCCATCCCACACCCCACTTTCACACATCGCCCATCCCACACCCCACTTTCACACATCGCCCATCCCACACACCACTTTCACACATCGCCCATCCCACACCCCACTTTCACACATCGCCCATTCCACACTCCACTTTCATTCATCGCCCATCCCACAGCCCACTTAGATACATCACCCATCCCACACCCCACTTTCACACATCGCCCATCCCACACCCCACTTTCATACATCGCCCATCCCACACCCCACTTTCACACATCGCCCATCCCACACCCCACTTTCACACATTGCCCATCCCACACCCCACTTTCACACATCGCCCATCCCACACCCCACTTTCACACATCGCCCATCCCACACCTCACTTTCACTCATCGCCCATCCCACACCTCACTTTCACACATCGCCCATCCCACACACCACTTTCACACATCGCCCATCCCACACCCCACTTTCACACATCGCCCATCCCACACCCCACTTTCACTCATCGCCCATCTAACACCCCACATTCACACATCGCCCATCCCACACCCCACTTTCACACATCGCCCATCCCACACACCACTTTCACACATCGCCCATCCCACACCCCACTTTCACACATCGCCCATCCCACACCCCACTTTCACACATCGCCCATCCCACACCCCACTTTCACACATCGCCCATCCCACACACCACTTTCACACATCGCCCATCCCACACCCCACTTTCACACATCGCCCATTCCACACTCCACTTTCATTCATCGCCCATCCCACAGCCCACTTAGATACATCACCCATCCCACACCCCACTTTCACACATCGCCCATCCCACACCCCACTTTCATACATCGCCCATCCCACACCCCACTTTCACACATCGCCCATCCCACACCCCACTTTCACACATCGCCCATCCCACACCCCACTTTCACACATCGCCCATCCCACACCCCACTTTCATTCATCGCCCATCCCACACCCCACTTTCATACATCACCCATCTCACACCCCACTTTCACACATCGCCCATCCCACACCCCACTTTCACACATCGCCCATCCCACACCCCACTTTCACGTCCATCCCACACCCCACTTTCATACATCGTCCATCCCACACCCCACTTTCACACATCGCCCATCCAACACCCCACTTTCATACATCGCCCATCCCACACCCCACTTTCATACATCACCCATCCCACACCCCACTTTCACACATCGCCCATCCCACACCCCACTTTCATACATCGTCCATCCCACACCCCACTTTCACACATCGCCCATCCAACACCCCACTTTCATACATCGCCCATCCCACACCCCACTTTCACACATCGCCCATCCCAAACCCCAATTTCATACATCGCCCATCCCACACCCCACTTTCACACATCGCCCATCCCACACCCCACTTTCACTCATTGCCACTCCCACACCCCACTTTCACTCATCGCCACGATCATGATTGTTTGTCACTATGGTGGAACCCACGATCATGGTTGTTTGTCACTATGGTGGAACCCACGATCGTGGTTGTTTGTCACCACAGTGGAACCCACGATCATGGTTGTTTGTCACCACGGTGGAACCCACGATCGGGGTTGTTTGTCACTATGGTGGAACCCACGATCATGGTTGTTTATCACTATGGTGGAACCCACGATCATGGTTGTTTGTCACTGTGGTGGAACCCGCGATCACGGTTGTTTGTCACTATGGTGGAACCCACGATCATGGTTGTTTGTCACTATGGTGGAACCCACGATCATGGTTGTTTGTCACTATGGTGAAACCCACGATCATGGTTGTTTATCACTATGGTGGAACCCACGATCATGGTTGTTTGTCACTATGGTGAAACCCACGATCATGGTTGTTTGTCACTATGGTGGAACCCACGATCATGGTTGTTTATCACTATGGTGGAACCCACGATCATGGTTGTTTGTCACTATGGTGAAACCCACGATCATGGTTGTTTGTCACTATGGTGAAACCCACGATCATGGTTGTTTGTCACTATGGTGGAACCCACGATCATGGTTGTTTGTCACTATGGTGAAACCCACGATCATGGTTGTTTGTCACTATGGTGAAACCCACGATCATGGTTGTTTGTCACTATGGTGGAACCCACGATCATGGTTGTTTATCACTATGGTGGAACCCACGATCATGGTTGTTTGTCACTATGGTGAAACCCACGATCATGGTTGTTTGTCACTATGGTGGAACCCACGATCATGGTTGTTTATCACTATGGTGGAACCCACGATCATGGTTGTTTGTCACTATGGTGAAACCCACGATCATGGTTGTTTGTCACTATGGTGAAACCCACGATCATGGTTGTTTATCACTACGGTGGAACCCACGATCATGGTCGTTTGTCACTACGGTGGAACCCACAATCATGTTCGTTTGTCACTACGGTGGAACCCATGATCATCTTTGTGTTGACTGATCACGGATCATAATCGGGATGAATTTACGATTGAAATCCTGGAGCAGCGGTTTATGCATTGTGAATCGAGGAAATATATAAACGACTACTCAACAAATGAGAGGCCATGAGACCGGGTCATCCCAAGACTCGTCATCTTGATAGACAGTTTCGAGTCGTAACGTAGGGTTTGTAGTCAACACGATTCTGGCTTATCTCTGAAATCACTATTCATACACATACACTTATCATGACCTTTAACATCCGTGAAGATAAACCAGATAAATATACAGTGCTACGTCTGCATTCCAGTATGGGACTGTGATAGGCTGGTATCATGGGCAAAAGGTCATGATACATCAAGCCTCCCATCTGATTAGAATTATTTCGTTTCGAATCGTCCGTCGTCGACAAACGTAAACATTTCTCATTTGCAACACCTCTTCGGAATGGCTTTTAATAGTTTATGGATAATTGGTCTTAAGTGTATCCTTTGCTATTCTTAAAGGCATCTTCCCACCGCTTGCCACTAGATACTGGAAGATGGAATAAACCTCCGTTGAATGAACGTTTATATAAATTGTGTTATAGTTATGACATTGGAGATAGATTCCACTTGTTTTCGATGAACAAAGGGAAATGTACATTCCAAAATGCTATTCATAATTATCAAATATGTTACAATTCCAGCAATTATTTAACATAGTAATATGTAAATTTGTTAACATTATAATAAAAATGGTAAAACCTCCCGGTTAACCCCGGTCTACCTCTATGTAAATTACTGTTTGTACCTCATATGCCGATGTACTCGGCCTGAGAGAAATAAAGGGATGTTCTGTTCTGTTTTGTCGATGCAAGAATTTCTCCTTAAGAACTTCCAGAATTAAAGTTATTGTTGTTTTTTATTCTTTCAAAGGTCTCCTCAGTAACAACAAGGAACGTTGATCCAGTTTCAGGTATCTAGTAACAAAACATACCTGATACAGTTATCCGGGTCATTGACGCAGTCCGTGTTACATCGGAACCTCTCCCAGTTCAGGAAACCCATGGGCGGGGTCAGGGCGAGGCCATTATTCAAGGCCCGGGACACCCCAAGGACAGCCGCCAGCAACACAAGCAGACCAAGACCTGCCATCTCCACCAGATGTAAGAATGGGTCAACGACCACCACCCGTCGTTTATAAGCTGTAGAAACTTCACAGATAAACGTATCAGGAGAGATAGGCTAATACTCGTGACCTCCAGGGCCCCGGTAAAGAGTCGCTTGATATCTTGTGAATAGTATTAGCTGTGGAAAAGAATTTGGTATGACAGACGTTGTGTGAAACAGGCTGATAAACAATAGCCATGTTTCGAATTTCCAGTTTGATTAACTCCATTTTCGATCTCGAATGTGTGAAACGTCATTGGAAAAGACGAAGCTGTTAAATGGACGAAACGACAACACGTATTCATGATATAGTCGGAATAGTACAATAGAGTCTTCTTTTAGAAGAGATTTCTTATGAATATGGAAAGGGTTTTGTTTTTGTTTCCAAAATCATGCAGTCACTGCTACAATGTCATGTAGTTGAAGGGATGTTCACACAGCTGCCTATCGTCCAGACACAATTGCCATAATGTTAAAGAGGCGTTAAAGTTCACAAAGCAGCATACAGTCCGCACTCAACTGTCATATAAACGTTGAATTAAAAGGTCGTCAGTGTCTAGCTGTCCTCATACCGCCCATGCAGCATTGTCATCAACTGGAAACGACGATGCAGTTCCTCTGACTTTATGACCTACAGAACGTGGAAGGGATATTAAAGTTCATCTAGCCTCATACAGTTGTTACCAGGCACAAGGAGATTAATATAAATTTATTTGCAGTGATTGTCAGTTGTTGTTAACAAACATGGGAGACAGGATCGTTCGAGAAGTTTTCGGATGGTACAGTTTCTAGAAGGCGATTCGAAGCCTTATTCAATCTACTTGCATTAAGTGGATGGGATACCAATCTGAAAAAGAGAACATTTGACATTGACAAATTCTGAACCTTCGCGAGTACACTTACATTAATTTACGACCTTTTTATTTATTGCTGCTGCCCTCGGTACTGACTGTTTGACTGTAAAACTAAAACTGTGTGTTTGAATATAAGTGATTTTATTAGTCATTGATCTTGTTCGGTCATTTACCGATTTCCGAATGTCGTTCTGTACGAACGGACTGCTGGGTTAATGTGTTTCAATTAGGAAATCCCGTAATAACGTGATTAAGGACATTCAGCTTGTCAATTCAATTATTTAACCTGAGGAAAAAATATTTTTCAAAAGATTCAAAGTTTTAAAGAAAATACTCATGCCTTATCTTGCTACCTGTAACTCTGCAGTTTCACATGAAAATATAATTAATTAAATTAAAGTTTCCGAAATAGTTAACGAAATAGTTTAACTAGTTGTGTGAATTGGATGAGCAAAGGTGCCCGAATTTGTTGAATCAAGGTACTCGAATTGAATGAGTCAAGATGCCTGAATTGAATGAGTCAAGATGCCCGAATTGGATGAGTCAAGGTGCCTAAATTGAATGAGTCAAGGTGCCCGATTTGAATGAGTCAAGGTGCCCGATTTGAATGAGTCAAGGTGCCTGAATTGGATGAGTGATGGTGCCTAAATTGAATGAGTCAAGGTGCCTAAATTGAATGAGTCAAGGTGCCTAAATTGGATGAGTCAAGTTGCCTATATTGGATGAGTCAAGGTGCCTATATCGGATGAGTCAAGGTGCCTGAATTGGATGTGTGAAGATGCCTGAATTGGATGAGTGAAGATGTCCGAAATGAATGAGTCAAGGTGACCGAATTAAATGAGTCAAGGTGCCTGAATTGGATGTGTGAAGATGCCCTAATTGGATGTGTGTATATTCCCGAACTGGTGGAGTCAAGGTATCCGAGTTGGAAGCGTCAAGGTGCCCGATATTTGTTGAATCCATGTGATCTAATTGGCTGAGTCTAGGCCTGGTTGTTCCGTGATTAAATGTAGGCAAGTTGTGGAATTGTTTAATAAAGAAGTTAATATCCATAAAAAAAGTTCAACCAACAATAAAATATGAGACATGGACAATACTGTACGAATATCTACAACGCGGCGGGCAGTGATGTAGGAAGGAGGAACCATACGTGAACCGTCAAATAATATTAAAAAGGGGAAACGAACTCATTATGTAACATTGCAGCTGGATGTCTCCAACAGAAAAAAAACCAAGTCAAAGCAAATACTCATTACAGCAATGAAAGAAAGAGGTCGGGTGATGGACCTTTTGGTCTCTTTGAAAATGTCATGTTGGGGAAATCTGTGTAATAATGGTAAGACATTTTCAAATGGTTGACTACTGGTCTCTTTTCTGTCGTAACCTTTTCCGTAATTGGCCCATTCACGAACATAAGAACGCCTAAAATGAGCTAAAAAGAGCGGTTTTTCAACTTCAAATGAAACTCTATCCATAAGTAAGTCCAAGACACAAAAATTATTTTTAAAATGTGTTTGTACTGTTTGTAACTTATAATTCCTTGTAACTCCTAAGAGTGTCAGCTTGGGTCAAAGATTTGCTCAGATTTAAGTATACAAAAACCTCTAAAACCTCACACAAATTTATATTAGGTATACATTTAGTATTGTTGTTGCATAAAAAGGACAAAAACATGCACGTGTGTGCTGAACAATGTATAGTTATCAGTCATGTAAAAATATCTTGAATTATGCAGATCCTGGGAGCCAAAAGGTCATATCTTGTCCTTTAACAAAACCAACACAAAAATATAAACCTACATGTAATTCATGCAAGCCAACAGGGTTTGTATAGGTGGGATGTTTCAAGGGTCTTTATTATTCATAGACGTCTGTATGTATACATCACAAAAGAAATGACGACCTTTTGGGGTAGAAATATAGTTGCTTGTCTTAAAGGGATGAATGAACAGTTTCGTGTCATCATAGATAGTGTCATAGTGTCCCCTGTTGCTCCACATACTACTGTCTTTAACAAAATGGATATCTTTCCATTTCTGCAGCCCCAAAGCAATATTTGCAAATCCTATTTCCAGCATCACTTTATGCTTAAGCAACAGATTTGTTATTAGAATATAATCATGTTTTAAGCTTGACGGCATGTACATGAAGTCACATCCTTGAAGGAAGAGTATCGTGAAATTTCTTGAATTGTTTCCAAAGTTGTTAAGGAAACGGCTGAAGACGCTTGAATTGGAATGAAAATAGTCCTCAGTTGCAATCTCCTTTAAAACATTAAGAACACGAGGTTTATGGCCCTTCCACCAATTCCAGTTTGGCCTTAATTCTTCCAAAGAAACGTTAGCAGGTCTTATGCCTGTATGAAGCCATATCTTTTCTCGGGGATGTTTCACCAAGTTCCAAGGATTCAACAACGTGTCGTCCCCGATTTGTAAATATCCTTTCACATCCAGATTCATTTTAAATGCCTCGACAGTACATTCGAACATATAGAGCCATCCTTGTTTCATAGCCTCAATATAGATGTAATACCCAATAGTAGAGTTGTGTACATGGAGTTTGAATTCCTTGATATTTGGACCACAGTAAATTATATGTTGGAAGTAGGGGCGGTACATACCCTCAAGTAATGGGATATTTGAATAAAATTTGGGCGAATTAAAGGTAATTATCAAAGCTATGTCAGTAATTAAATGATTTAAGGAGGCAAGTGATACATTCGGGCAGATACTTCGTAAAGTCTCTGAAGCAACATTCACTTTGAGAACTGTGGTTGGTGGAATGTTTACTATTCCAAACGTGCGTTCCTGATGACCGAGTACTTGCCCCTTAGGATTTGCTATTCGTGGACTCCGGTAGCCGGCAATACGAAGATGATAAATCCATTGTTTGATGTACTCGTTTTCATAATATGAAATTAGTCCTTTTTCATTAAGCAAGTCGAACAAATGAGTAATGCAACTGAGAAGGTAGAACTTTTTGTCGCATCTAAAGTGGTTTACAAACTCTTGGAGACTGGAGTTGAGATAATGCTCTTCTTTTCTTACTCGTGAATCCCATGCTACTTGGAACACTCCAACCGATCCTTCTATCTCCCACAGCAATTGCTGCGTCAGCAAATATCCGTAGTTCATGTGGCTGAAGGCCAGTGCCCAGAATGCATCATACCGGAAGAGAGTCATTTCTGAATCGAGGGAGACAACTGTATATGCTGGCAGGAACACAGGGGGGAGACTTTGGAAGGTTTCAAAATAAATTCTGTTTGCTGGCAAATGCTCCTTTGCCTGGGTGGGAGGCGTTACAACTCTTTGAATCATAGGATTCAGGTTCTCGGAGATAACATTATCAAAGGACATGTAATGTGGAGCTGAAAGTAGCGGGTGTTTGATACCTTGGATGCCTCTTCTGAATATATACTCTTTATATCGACTATTGGGTCACTAGTATCAGCAACTGAACCAGATTCTGTTTGCATACAGATGAATTTCATAAGATCGTTGGTCATGCCGTTGTGCCATCTTGTAATGGAAGCGATATATCTTGCACCATGGGAAAAAGCATATAGATATGCTGCAAGCGCCTCATTCTTCTTTGATTCGAGCAGTGCAAGCTGTATGCAGTTAGGCGCTCTGAAAAATCAACAGATGTACAATACAAATACGCACAGTTTATTTGATTTCGTTGAAGTCAATACATAGTGTATCCTTAAGTTAATCTAAAGTGTGCATCTTTACATAAGCCAGTCTAGGACCTCGTCAACAGTTCACGTCACAGGTTTTATTATTTCTTTGAAGGAATAATTGAGAAAACATTCACACTCTAAAAAGTAAAAAAAACGTCATAGAATAAATTTTCATTGTTTGAAAAACGTGAGTGGTTGAATTGTAAGATATATAACAGCTATATCACAGATGGCTGTAATCAATTTCTGAATCCATACTTAGTGCAGTAGTACACATGCATTACATTGTTAAATAGGAAGGTATCATATCTCTCGACTCTAAGTTTCATGGCTACATGTGGAGGACATTTCCAAATTTGAAGGATCAGTGACCAAAATGATATCCTCTGTAATTCCCTATTTTCACTTGCACCATATATTCCCGTTTTGTTCAGGAACAAGCCCGACTTGCTTTTGCATGTGTTTATGGCGGGTGTCACTTTTCTTTTCGCGAATACCCGATA